GAGCAGAACAGATGGACAACACTGCATTCACCAAATAAGCATTAAAATAATAACAGGTAATTTATTGCACAAACACAAAACAAGCAGATGCAGGGGAAAAAAAGAAGGGAGAGAACAAGAAGATACTGTGCAATAAGCCAGAGCCCAACTTAACTCAGGATAACTTGACAGTTCAGTCAAGTACCAGGACCATTCAGATGGTTTCCTATCTTTTCTTGCTAACAACAGAGGCTTGAAGGAGTAAAGGGAGAATGTTCGGGTGAAATTATGTGCTGTTTCCAGAACCATTTGCTTTTTTTTCTGGTTTTTTTTGGGAGTGTTTTTTTGTTTTGCTTTGTTTTGTACCATTCAGCTGTTCTTTGTTGTATAGGAATAAAAGTTCAGTTTTGAAAATATGCAAGAACAAAGCTGTAGAAATTGCCTGGAATTTCCTCCATCTTCAGCCATCTGGCTTTCATTGCTTCGCTTCTCTCTCCGTTCCTCCATACATGTTTACCAAATCTTTTCAACATGTATTGACCAAGCTATTGAGCAGTTATAATTAATAACACAGTTACAACATTCTCTTTCACCCCTTTGGTAGAGTTTATTGGCTCACCACAAAGTGCTTATGCTGTTGCTGTTATAAACAAGAGCAATTATATCTGATTAGATGATGACTGCCTCTGTATTTTGGGCTGTGGAGGCTGAGGAAAAGACACATTTTGGATGCCAGTCATTTGTTGTTGAAAACAGCAAAGCCAACATTGAAACAGGGTTTTTCTGATTGTTCTTGGAGTAATTTAGAATACAAACATAGCAATTAACAAAACTGAGTGTTCTGCCCTTTTGTTTTTTGAGCTTAGAGAAGAAACTTTTAGACATTGAACAGCTATTCTGCATTTACTTCTGGGAAGACTATGGTCTGCTCAGGTACTGCTATGTAATTCTGGAAGCGATATAGCTTGATTGACACAAATTAAGTAACTCAATGACTGAGTTATGGTCATGGCCTTCATTCCTCTCTTTCCTGGAGAAAGCATCCTCCCAGTATATCAAAATGGGTTATATCCTTTGTATAGAAATATCAAACAGGGGTGTATCAAGTTAATGATATGAAATTTTACTCTATCTAATGCACTGAAAATCGGTTATTAGCTCCCAACTTAGCAATCATCTCTACAGTGTTTCACTGTTTCTTAGTTCAGTGCAAAATGGGAAATTTTGTTATAGTGTTTTCCAGGAGAAAAGGGACCGGGCTCTTTTTCTGCTATTGTTCTTGAGGCAATAAGCAAAAAACTCTCAACAAAGTTTGAAACCACAGGAAACTCAACTGTTTTGGGATTTGAATGTGGATGAAATCTTCCAGTTTTTGTGTCCAACTCTTCCTAGTTCTTCTTCTTTCTTCTGTAAGAATTTTAAGCATGAGATTTTGCTGACTCCATACAGCTGTGAATATTTGAAGACAGATTTCTGTGGTTTAGTTTTTATGTCTCTCTTCAATGGACTCAGAATAGTAATGTGCTAAGATATTAAGCCACAATTTCAATGGAAATGATAAAGCTCTCTCAGCTGTTATACAAGCACCATCATCTTTCAGTGTTTTCATAAATCTGAAGTATTGCCAGTATATTCTAGCTTTTACAATGTTTAGTTCCAGGAGAGACCAGAGCAATTAAGAATTGAAGAGGATGATGATACCACAGACTAATTTCAAGGTGAAGCATTGAGGAATGAAGTCTTCTAGTCTACCTGCATTTATTCTCAGTAGAGAGCAAAAAGAACAGCAACAGTGAAGATGCCTTTAGCATAATTCATGTTAAGTGTCCAAAAAGAACGATGAAACAAAATCAGAATGAAATTACTCTTCACTGACTACTACTGAAGTATCTGTCTTGAAATGTATGCTTCTGACCCTCCAGAAAGGCTAACTACATTCTGTGATTTGATGCTTGTTTTTATCTGTATTAAACCAATGGTTGACCAGGAGAGGCTTACATGACTAACCCTTTGAGAGGCTCCAGGGAATGCCACATGTAGTGAAAAATGCCTGCAGCAGAAGCAACCTTAAGCTTGGAAGTTCTAATTTTTAAATGTTCTCCCTTTTAAGATAAACAAGATCTTGAACCGTATTAAATTCTAGACATATGCATTAAATTCTAAGTATGCTGGGCTGTTTTGGTTCAACAAACACCACTGGCATAATTTCTTTAAATATATCAGGAGGGAATTTTCATTCTCTTGGGCAAGACTTCTCAGCTTTTTCTTCGTGCTGTGGACAACATTCCCTTGTCTACTGACACATTCGTCACTGTCTCAGTTGCCTTTTCAGCAAACTGCCTCCTCTACCCACCACAACTGCATGCTCCAGCAGTTACTTACACATCAAGGACATTTTAGGAAAATGTTTTTATATTTTTAGCTTCTGTTAATGCACTTTAGCAGCTGGAAAACAGACAGAAGAGCCAACACTGATACCAGCCAGCATTCTTTATAAGCTGTCAGTGAAAGCTCTGGGAAGTATCAGTAGTTCACGAGATCGCATTTTGGGAACTTCTGTATCAGGGATCTAAGTTCATAGACGCAGTGTATTACACGTTTTGGACTTGTCAGTCAATAGTAATGCCTTCATCAGCATTCATAAGAACAGGATTTTAGTCTAAATTTCCATTAGATTCCTGGATCAAGATTTCTTGAATTAGAATCCTGAAGCATCTTATGATTAAACCAAAAATAAAACCCTAAAGCCTTTAAATTTTTTAATGTGTTCTCTTTGGAAGTCTTAAGACTGTTGTAATTCATTATTATAAAGCAATAATCTATAATAACTATCAGTTTAATTAATATATCATTGTAGTTAATACAGTGGCATTAGTAGATGTAGCACTTTAGAAGGCTGCAGGAAATAAGTCACAGCCTGCCTGGGAGACACAACAACTTTTCTTCTTGCCTATTTTTCTATTAGCCACACTGCCTTGTTGTCTGCAGCCTTGAGTTTTAGGCCTCCTTGCTCTTATCAGAGAAGCCATTTTGCAGAACATGTGCTGTTCTTCATCCTATGCCACTTAAATCTCTGCAGATAGGCAATATCCTCCAGACTGGAGGGGTCTAGAGGGAGAGGAGGTCTATATACAGGAAAGGGACTAATTTCCCCTTTTCTCAATTGCAGCCCTGGGGTGTATGAAAGCCTCTTAATCTCTGCCCACAGCCTCAGTCCCCTTTCACCTCTGCTTCATTGCCTGATTGTCACCTGCAATACGATCATCTTGGAATCCACAGAGTGAACTACACGACCAAGGTTGCTTTAAACTAGCTCCACTGTAGTAGCAAGATTACCACAGTGGTATGGATTATCACACAGACTAATTCGAAAAGTATTCATCCCATTTCTCAGACTACTTTTGTAACAGAACTCATATAAATACTGGCCTATATGAGCATGCCCTATTTTTTTGTAACGAATGAATATTTATTTTCCGTGTCAGAATCAACGGGTAATCAATCTCCTACAATGCAGTCTCAGCACAAAGCATCTCAGCACAAAGTGATGCTATTACCTATCAATTACAGAAAGACTTCCACCTACAAAATTATTTTCAAGCATTAATATAGTATTTGTGTGTTATTGCCAGCAATACAGACAATTTAACGAAGTCAGGGTTGCAATATCCTCATAAGTAATTCTTGTAATTCTTTGGTGAAACATGTCAGCCTATTTGGCTCTGCTTGTCACAGAATCAAGATCCTGATCATCCAATAAAACCATTATTTCTGATCTTATCATCCTTGGATGCTGACCATATTAATGCGAACCTTCTCTATGTACCCCAAATCTACTAATATTCATAACAAAATACCTCTGTATAGCCTGCTATTGTATAAAGTATACATACACCTACAAACATACACTCTGAAGAATATCTACTACCTGGACAACACTGAGTGTTTTAAATAGTCCAAAGTTTTAAATCAATGTGTTTCAAATCTCCTGAACTGCCAGAAGAGAGTAAATGCACCTGTGTACAGCTGGGAATAAATACAATATGTATACAGTAAATCTTGAAGACTTGACAGGCCCAGGTCTATTTAAATAAACCACAGGAAGCTCATGACAGCTATTTTCTGTCATAGAGGGTACAGATGTGAATCTCTGCAGAGAAAGACCTGCTATTTTTAGGCTAAGGATTCTGGAAGCTGCCTGAGGCCAGGAAGGAACAGATTCTGCAAAACCTTTTGTGAGAGGGGAGGTTGGAGAAGTCTCCTTAAACTTGACACAACTCTGGGTGAAGTTAAGCCACAAATTGTTTGCCTGCAGGACCTGAATGGGCAAGCGGTCTGAAGTTTGCCCTGTGGTTTTACCACTGCTTTGCACTTCCTGGTCAATATGACTGTGGCGTGAAGAGGCTGTAAGTCCCTGCAGTCTGAGAAAGAGCATGTGTGAGGCAGTGTGTGTCTCCAGACAGGAAGACAATTAAGTCTGAGGTCACAAGTTATTTCTTTTTTTTTTTTTTTTTTTTTTCATACTGCTACTGTTGTTTAAATGGCTCTGGGCAACATACTGGACTACAATCACCCACACTTGTGTAGTTTGTTTTGGTTTCTTATGGATTCCTCAAAATCCACTAAACGATGTCTGGACAAGACCAAAGAGCCCTGGCTTAGGTATTTTCACCTGCGATAACACCACCAACCCAGCTGCACTGACCCACTACCTTATGAGGTAGCAGAGTTTTACTTACTCACATTATCTCTGCTCACTTCACATCAGTTAAAAGGAGTCCCGAGGGGAGCGACACAGATCTGCTGAGCTGAGACAGCTAACTCTGTGGTACTGCAACCTGAGCAGCCACCTCAGGCTCTCGTCAGGAGATTCAGTAATGCCCAGATCCAAGCATCCTTGGCTGCGAACATCTCAGATTCATGGGGAGCTTGAAGATCAGTTTCTCAACTTCATCAGCAATTGCATGTCTCTTAAATCTGGAAAAAAATGTATGCCTAGTGATAAGATATAAGAAACCTACCTTGGGGGGCAGGGGTCCAGGCTACAGGCTTTCAACAGCTGTGGTGGACGGCGGCTGGTTACACATAGTGTCTCATCTGCAGTCTCCCTGGTTTGTTTGTTCAGGCAGGTCACCACAGCCTCCTGGACACCTGCACACAACAACACATGGTCACAGCCAGCTCTCCATACCTGGAGGGACAGCTGAGGGCAAAGAGGGCCCAGTGGGACCATTGGGCTGCGTTGGGGCTGCTGCATGTGGGGAAGCACAGCCTCACAGCCAGGGCTGTCAGCTCAGGGGCTGCAGCTCCAGCTTCAGAGGGTGAGGAGGCTGCTTCCTGCATGGCAGTGAGGTGTTTGCTGTCCACATCCAAGCACTATGCCTGGTCTTTGAGGAGTATGGTATGAACATCTATCGAAGGAGGATGTTTCTTCGCACAGCGTACCTGACTGAGTAGGGAAAATCACAGTTCTTTTTCTCCCTTTTATTGGGAAAAGCCTTCATCTGTAACTACTGCAATTTTCCAGACACAGTCATGCATTGCTTACTGCACCTTTTGTATCCTGTTCCCCATCCATCTGGGAGATGACCTGATCAAAACACCACGTGGAGTGTTGAGCTTTTACTTGCTCTTGCTTGCAGTTTCACAAGGTGCCTCTGTTGCAGTGAAAAGTCCCTAGGTTCATTCACCACTTACCTTCCCTGGACCGAAAATTTTCATCCTTTCACTATTACTGCAATGAGGATGTTTTTTTGTCAGCCAAGCAGGCTAAGGTGTGAACATGGCCTTGACTTTGGTATGCTATATTTTAAGCAATAATATGACTGCTATACATGCAAAAGTAAAGTAAAACAAGGTCAGACAATTCAGCTGCTCTCAGTTACCCGTCTGCCTCCACAGACCTTCACCTAAACTGCAGATGCAAACGTGCAGGGTGTATCTGAGAGCTGGCACAGAATAAGGGTAACTGTTGGGACTAAGAGAGAAGCTGGAAGATTTGGCAATTATGTTTTAAGTCAGGAAATCCTTAGTGATACCGAATTCCTTATGTACTCTTTGGCATACTATTTACTCTGTCTCACTTTTCCTATGAGTAAGGTAGGAATAGTGCAGTTTTTTTTGGATCACGAGGCTAGAAAGATAGAAAATCAGGGATTGCAACACTACATGCCATAGGAAAGAGTACTTAGTGAGAGAGGATCTACTCCTTCCCTGGGGGTCTGAGGATAATAATTGGCCTGAGCTTCCTAAAAATGTAATCCACAGTGGTTCAAGGAAAGTGGAAGTATGCTTTTTACATTCATCCCCACTTCCTGAGTTAGATTAGCTGGACTCATAACAATTGCGTCATCTTCTCAAAACTAACAATTATTTTTCCAAGATATCTCACAATCTTTTGAAGACACTAATGTTTAAAAAAAAAGTGTTGGAAGAGCTCGAACAGCTCCAAGGACAGTGTAACAGAACTGACAATACCTTTTGCTGTTTCTAATGCCAGAGCACATGTCATTAGGCAAACAATGATATCATATTATTTGACAGGACCAAAGTGCTGCAACTCATCATAGTTCCTGTATTTCTGAAATTATTCATTAATTCATTCCCCTTATTCTCAGTACAGGCTGAGGACAAGCCTACAGCAAAGTGGTGTGTTGAACAATTTATTTGCTCCTATGTGTGAAAGCCTATTCAGGGCATGCTTATGATTCAAGGGCAGGCAGTGTCTCCACTGTACTCAAGGTACTGGAGAGGAGAAAGGAATTTGACACTTTTGGACATGGACATCAGCATCGAAATTACCAAAGTCCCTGAGGTCAGCCAAAATAGTTGTGGGTTTCCTTCTTTACAAGGCGACCTCATATTTTCAAGTCGTTTTGCTATTAAAGTAATCTCCCAAAAGGCTTAAGAAGTTGTAAAAAGGATAATCCATTGAAAGAATAAAACGAATGGTAGTGATTTATTTCTAGGAAAGGAAACCAATGAAATTTCTATACATACACAATAAGTTCCCTACCCTGTCATGCTCAGTATCTTTCCAGCTCAATTATTTTTCTGTTGGGCATGTTATCATATTGTGTGGAGCAAAGAGAGGCATATAGATTCCTCAGGACAGACTGCTCCTGGCTGCAGAACAGAGGTGGTTCTCTACCTGATGGGAAACGGCACTGTGTTCAAGTTAATGGTCTCTACTTTGCACTGATCATTTGTGCAGGCCTGATAGCAAGACCAATCTCATGAAGCCAGTAGAGAAGGGCTGGTAATCCAGAGGTATGGTAACTGAGAAAATACACTTCTTAACTCTGTGAAAAGAAACCACCCAGTCCTGCCATATGCTGGTGACATCATTCTGTTTGCTAGGGATACAGCTCACTCACCATCTGTATGTGCTGGATGTCTTTCTTTTCAGATCAAAATTTTGTAAACTGAGTGTACTTCCACAGCTTCAATATCTCCTCTCTGAAGTGAGTCAATGAGCTCTTGACCAATGATTATCAATTACCTTAACACTTTTGCATTGTCTGTTTCAGTGCTGACTATCCGAAAGTGACTGACTGAGGTCTTGAATTCAGCTTTTTCTCCATCTCAGACTGATGGGTTTGTTTTATCAGATTTGTATAGCCAAGCTCTGATACTACTGCTCTTCACTTTCCAGTATTCAACCTGCCCCAAACTTCCCAGTGATTTCATTCTTCATGCTTATTCCTGTCACCTAAGTCATCTGTGATTGTATTTCCAATAATTTCAGTCTATTCTACCAGCATTCTACTCTGCTCCTTATAATTTCCTTTCAGAGATTCTTACACCTTTTTACCTTTTAAAGGTACCAGGAGGACCAGTGATCTTTCCTGAAAACATGGGTATTGAAGAAAAAGGCTCCTGCCCGAATTTAACCTGTCTGTGGTTGATAGACTATGTATGACAGAAGTTTCTGTCTCTAATAGCTTCTGCCAGTGACTAAAAAAAAAATCATCTGGCTTGCTCCAGCAAACAAATGTGCTTAGAATAATTTTCTTCAGCTTCTCCTTGAATCTCACACTAAGTGTGTCTCAGCATACTAATAACTTCTGTCCCTCTGTTTTTGATAGGTCAATGCAGTAAATGGTTATAAACTAAAATATAATTTATCCATCCTAAATCAAGGATGGATCATTGAACATTTAGAGAATATAAAGACCTGTGGTTATCTGTCAGACATTCCATGGCACAGAGATAATTAAAAAAAAGTATATGAACTTCAAGAAGTTTATTTGCCAAGTAACTGAATTCTAAACATTACTTACTGCACAATATTACCAGAACAAAAATCCGTCTGCTTTAAAATTGCTTTCCCTAAAGAAATCAGTTCTCTATAGGAAATCACAATATAAAAGGGTGTAAGCGTGGGATGTGAATCTAGGCAGTTTAAGTTCACTTTCAAAATACCATCAAATGAAATTTTCTGTGTTTATATCTACCAGAATAGAATAATTGTTACATGATATTTGATGACAGCTCTGGGAAATGCAGCCACTAACAGGAGACCAAATGACTAACTAATTCCTTCTGGTTGCTGCTTCTGGGAGGTGAAAGGTTACTTCTGCATCTATCCAATTTCTTCTCTTGAGACTCCAAACCCAATAAAATTAGTTTGACCGGTCTTGCACCTATAGTTACAAAAATATCTGACTTAGCATCTGTTAATCTGGAAAATTTGGAGTTGACGTCAGACAAAAAGAAATCTTGGCTAACAATTTTTGCTGACAATTGAAAGAGATTAAATTTATAAAGCAAAATGTCTCTGTCATATCAATCTCTATGAGTAACATTTGAAAAATACACACATAGTCACTATATTCAAAGAAATTACTGAATTTCAAGAGGATATTTCTAGAAGCTGTTCAGGTTTCAGTATTCGCAGTGTGAGTGTGACAAATTGTTACTGCTCATTAGCAGCCTCAATATAAGACAGATACTCCTGTAAAGTCAGTGTTTGTCACCACTTAGCATGCGCTAGTGTCATAATTTTTATGTAAGAATCAAAGCGATACTGGTGATGGTCTGACAACTCTTTGTGAACTGCTCTAAACACTGACTACTGTCAGCAAGCTAAAAGTAAGCATAGAAAACCTTTGCATTAATTTCTATTAACTGTGGGTTTTAAGTTTGTAATTAATTACTGGTGAATCTATACAGACCATGCTATCAACCATTCATAAAGCGTTGAGTGGTTTCTAGTTCTACAGCATCTATTCTGTATTTATCTATTATAATCCTTTTTTAAATAGTCTGAAACTTGTAACAGAAAAAGACAACAGCTAGAGAAGTCTAGGTTTAATTTCAAAAATACTGGAGTGGACATATTTCTCAGAACTAGCTAGACAAAATGATGGGAAAAAAAGATATCACAGAATTGTGCATTAATAGTCTATAGCATGTGAAACCTGAGACCTTGATTAACTTTGAGAAACTCCAGGTGCCAAGTCTGTTAGCTTCAGACAATTGCATCATTAGGCGTTTTTTTGCCATATGTTTTCTTTTGCACTGGGATGGGAACTAACGTCATTTAGTGATAGGAGTTAGGGAACTGGCTTAGCCCTTAGAATATCAATAATTTAATGCATCTGTTATGAGAAGACAATTTGCTTCCAAATGTTTATACTTGCACAGTACAAATCAAGAGATAAAAACTAAAAATGACATGTGATTCTTAGCCTGTATCACCAGACCACTTTAACATTCAGCTTTTTTGCATGAGTGCCATTTGAGTAATCAGCTGATACAAGGAAATAGAACTATGTGATACATTGATCACTCTTGGTGACAGCCTGACCACGGAGCCTGGAAGTCCTGGGCTAAAATATGTTGTGCACATGTAGTTTTTCTTCCACAGTTTGCATCCATGCCTTTTCAAGTATGGTTGGACTTGATGATCTTAAGGTTGGATTTGATGATCTTACAGTTGGACTTGATCTTAGAGGTCTTTTCCAACCTAAATGACTCTATGATTCTAAATAGCTGTAGCAAAGCAGCACGTCCGTGGCTATTAACTGTAAAGCACACTCTTGACGAGGGAAAGCAAATCCAGCACAGAAACATTTTGCACTTACCTCCTCCACAGGACTCTGAACACTCCGTAAAGCCCTCATATTCCCAGTCATAGAGCTCATCAAACTCCTGCAAACTGCCATACAGCAGCTCAGTTTCTTCTGGTGTATATTCAGTTCCCTCCCCACTGCAGGGGCCACTGTAGCAGGCTCTCTGAGACACAGGTTTGGGACCTTCACATTCATCAATGGGCAAGTCAGCCACAGACTGAGAGAAAGAGAGGAGCACTTGACATTTCACAAGTCGCACCTGGCTGCCCACTCCACAGGTGACACTACAGGTGGACCAAGCCTCAGGGATAAACCTGTGAGAGGAAGAAAGCAAGTCATGTCCACAAACAGCCATGCAAGCAAGTGCAATATAGTCTTGTCCATGCAAATTCTGTTTAATGAGAAACAAATGCTTCACCTCATCATAGGGCCATTATGAAATACACTTATGTGTATTATGAGCCATGACATATTGTTGACAACTCAACGGCAACAGTGGAAGGGCTTGCAAGTACTCATGTAGAGTGTCTCCTTACATCCAGGGAGAAAGATGCACTCTTAAAGCACCTGCCTTGATCCTAAAACATTTCAGTGCAAGGGATCTCCCAGTGTGCAGCATGAGCCCACTAGCCGCTTCAATACTCTAGTAATTCAACCCAGATTGCCTTTGCCTTAGCTGATACCACGATTGTGTCACTAGTAAGTATTGAACAGGCTGCTGTTATCAGCTAGTTGCAGTATTACAGGGAAAATAATTTCAGCCATTGTTCCTGTATTGCAGTAACCATTTTTAAGCCTTAATTTGAAGCCATAAAAAGGATAAAGAAGCCACCATTTCCTTAGCTGCCCTTTTTTTCCCCCAGCACATTTAATTTCCTTCTCATTAAAAAAACAGTGTTCTATTTCTATTCTGGATTTTTCTGGCTGTTGCTCCTGTCTCACTGATTAGGAACCCTTACATGCTCTAAATTTTTGCCTCTGAATGTCCATACATACTTTAATAAAAGCACCTTGCAGCCACCATTAGAATAAGCAAAACAGACTGAATTCCATTTTTTTTTCCTCAACAATCAAATAAATTCTTAATTTTTTTGTGTTGTCACCACTTTTTCAACATCTTAAAAATAATCGGTACTGGAAATAGGCATAGCACTTTACTCAGAGTAACATGAAGCATAAGGATCATGTTCAACTCCATACCACATCATTACCACCTTGCTTAAATGTAACATGTCTTGTTTTGCTCAGCTTATGTTGATCTATGCTGATTCCTAAATCTTTCTGGAAACAATGGTTCCAGGGTACTCTATGACCTACATTACTTATGCTTAGATACCTGATGTTGATGGTATTAAAGCATTGCAATAATGAATCCAGGTTACAGGGTGATTCAGATAGCTTTGTCTGACTGTCTTGTCTTCTCTATTGGCCATTCTGCCAAACTTTCTGCCACAGGCAAATTCTAAGCCAGTAGTTGCAGATATACTTCAAGGCCTGGAACAGAAGAGCGACTAGTTGGATCTGGCACTGATCCCTTAAGAACCTCACAGGAACAATCCCTGTTGATAATGCTCTCCCATTAACAGTGAGTGTTTGGGATGTCAGCTCCTTAAAACTCAGCAAGTTCTTTTTAAAATGATGTTTTTGAGTGCTAATCTAATGAACTGAAAGCTTTTTGTGATAGCGTCAACTGCTTGACAGAAATTTACATCTTTCAGAACCTAATCATATGTATTAGCTAAATTTATAAATAAATCAGAGTATACAAGAGGTATTTTTGACTAAAACATGGCTGTCACTGTCTTTATTAGATAGGCCCCACTGGACTTGGACAGCTTTTCCCAGGGCTGAAGGCAATAATACATGTGTGTCTCTTCTATGTTCTAGGGCTACTCGGGGCTATAGGAAACTCATTTCTCACCTTGAGAATCCCATGACAGTCTGATAAGAAAAAGGAAATTTAGTTTTGTGATCAGCATCTTTGAAAGTATTTTTATGCACTTCTCTTTTTCATCCACTGCGTTTCTCTAGTTGACAAAAGGACTTTCCTTTTACTCTAGAGTTAAAAAAAGAATTCAAAACCAAGAAAGGAGCCTGGTTCCCCCCTCAGTGTGTATGTATCAGGATCCCTGACTGGAACAGCATAGTCTCCTAGAGCAGACAGTGTGCACGTCTCTACTCACTTTTTGTGGGTGTTTATAACATTTTGTTATAAACCTGATATCCACTGCTAGCACTATCCACAGGAAGTAATAGAAAGGAAAGAAATGGATTGTATATGTTATTGGAACATTTGAAACTGTTTATAATGCTGCTACAAAACCTGCAAGATTTCTTTCTGCAGCAAAGCCTTTGAGAAACTAATGATGTGAAGTGATTCCATTTCCCTACTCTGAGACATTTTACCTTAAAAGATTGGTCTTGTTCCAAAGATGGTAACCTTCATTTTGAAAGGATTATAGTCTTTAACAGTACAGGTGGACACTCATCTTGTTTTCTCTAAGACCGTGCTATAATATTGCTATAATACTATTTTGATGTGGAAAATCTCCTGTCACAGATTAAACAGTCCATGTCAGCCACTGAGACCTAGATATTTTGTTGAGTTTAATTGATCTGACAAACTAAGAGGTAGAAATCCTAATCATGTTACAAAAAAAGGCACTGGTCCTCATCAGAAGCTGTGTTCCCTGTTTTTTTTAACATTGTGAATTGTGTAACTTTGCTTTGTTGAAAAATTGCTGTATTCCAAACCAAGTATTTTGACAGGTATTAAAAGTACTCATTTAGAAAAACAGAGATACTTCATATACTCAGAACATTTACACATATTGTATATTACACATACAAACACAGGAACAAAAGAGAGAGGACAAAAAAGGGAAGTAAGAACATTATTAAAGCAGATTGGATACTTTTTGAAATGAGGCTTGATCTATAAAAGCCACATATTATATTATTTTACTCTAGTCAGCAAGTCACAAAGAAAACACTGAAAGACTTTCAGGAAACTATATTTTATTCAGCTTTCTAGGCCCAAATGATAAATTATCATTTTAAATGGTAAATTTGGAAGTGTAATTTAATTTTAATATAACTGCTGGCTGCTAAAGAGGGAATTGGTTGAATCAAAAGAACTGAAAGCAGAAAAAAAGGGGGGAAAACCAAGAAAACCCTGCAAACAAAATCTCCATATAGGACTTGTCATTTGATACTGAACATTTATGTAATATGAATGTATAATATAAACATAAAATGGTTCTGAATTCTCCATCATCCTAAAACCAGGAAATTACAAAGGCTTTCAAATATCTTCGTGTGGTCATTAATGATAAATGCTGCCAAATGGTGAGCACAAAACACAAAAAGTATGTGAATAATAAGCAGACAATTCCATGAGTATAAAGTTATTTGTTCTGCATATAGTCTACCTTCCACTGCACAGCATTGTGCTTTTCTGTATGCTAACATCTGGGTCGTCTTTGAAAATTTACTGGGAAGCAGGGTTTTTTGAAAACAGCAAATGATGAAGTGTTTCAGTTGTCATTGCATGTTGTTTAATTAAATCCCACTGTAATAATAGTCCTATAATAACAACCCCAATGAATAAGACAAAGGCAATAACTAGTTTAGTAATGTGGCTGTAGTAGCTGTCAGCCCAGTTGTGCTAATAGCTGTACAAATGAAAAATAAAAAGGTGGTTCTTGCCTAAGAGATTATATTGAGCTTTTTGTAGCTCTTAGCATAATTCTTAGTGATTAACATGTTGCCATTGCACCAAAAAGCATCTTCTTTATTCCACTGGACAGCAGACATGAATACGCTTCTTCCCCAAAAGAAAAATACAGCAGTGAGTGTGTTCTGAGAGCTCCAATTAATATTTTGAAGAGGAGTTTTTTGCTCCTGTTTTAGAGAGATCACTATGAGGTGGAGAATTGAAAGCTGGAAGGAGGGAAAATCATGACCTTGCTTTGTTACGACTGACTTAACAGTGTCTGTTGTTACTCAGCCGCTGGAGCACTGACTACATTACAGTGCCCAGCTGTGGCATGGCTGAAGGGTCCCTCTGCCTGTCAATCCCCCTAAACAGGCATCTCTGTGGGCAGCAGTGCTGTCAAGCTGGAAAAGGAAAAATGTTAAAATAAAAGGTAGAAAACTCTTCAAAGAAAACTGCGGGATAAAAATGGATGGTGCTTGTAACCAAATGCCTATACTTGTTTCCTTGACCTGTGGGCACTTTTATGGTGATGGACGAGCAACCTTTTCCCATTATATGAACACCCTTGCAAAACAGTGAGTTCTGGATTTACAAGAGGCATTGTATTTTTCAATGTTTTTTTTAGCTATTGAGGTTTCACAATTTACACAAGACTGTGTTCAGCAAAAGGAACTGTTGTTATACCGCTTATCATATGCACATTAGCCTACATAGGGCTGCATAATATGTTCCAGGAATGGAGGAAAAGAAATGTAATGCCAATGACACTGATGGACTTCTGCAGGAGTCATTCATGTGTGGTACTGAGCTGGTTTTGGCTCATTGTTTTTGTAATGTACTACAATCGCTGAAAATATGTGCTAAAGAAATTTTAATATGACAGCAAACCCAGCTTACCATGTTTGTATGTAAAGCGCTTAATACAAAACGTTGGTCAAACTGTGAAACGCACAGCAGTCCAGCCTGCTGTGGCTGCACATCCAATGGACCTGCAAGTACAAGTGAATTGCAGTTGTCCACAGAATTTCATCCATACATGAACACTGGGTAGATACCACTTGCCCAGCTCAATTTTGCAAGGACTATTTGCATTTGTAGATATTATTATTTACATTCACACATGAGAATGCTCCTTTCAGACAACAGTGTGTCTAGTGTTTCAAAAAAAATTTCCTCTTTGTAAATTATATCAAGGAAGTATATTTAAAAACCCAGCTTTTGTAGACTAAAATGTGCTACAAAATGTTCACTTCCATATAAAGGCAGCAAAACTGATGTCAAAATTTAAGTTGAGAACAGTGATGACAATGACAGTCTTGGGATAATGATATTTTTTTCCTTCAAGCTCAGGGCACAGAATCACAGAATCACTAGGCTGGAAAGGACCTTCAAGATCATCAAGCCCAACCATTAATCCAGCACCACCATGTCCCCTAAACCATGTCCTGAAGTGCCACATCCACATGTTTTTTGAACACTTCCAGAGATGGCGACTCCACCACCTCCCTGGGCAGCCTGTTCCAATGCCTGACCATCCTCTCAGTGAAGAAATTTTTCCTAATATCCAATCTAAACCTCCCCTGGTGCAACTTGAGA